GGGTTAGTGAAAACCAACCAACCAAAACCCCCCAATATTGGCAAAATGTTGTGAAAGGTGTATAGACTCATGGGAAACAACTCTATTTTTCTTCCTTTCCTGCCCCTTCCTTCTTTTTTCCCCTTCTGTTAAGACCTGCTTATCTGTGTACCAGCCAAGGAAGACAACCCTTTAACAGTCTTCATGTAAGACAGATGTAAGACAGTAGTTGTGAATAATTTCAGGATGTAACATTAGAAAGCTTCTAAACATCAGAGATGTTTTTGAACAGTCTCCAAGAAGAAAGGATGGGGATAAGAAGATACAGTTGTTGTGAAATGCAACTTGATATTCTTCCGAATAACAAACAGTGGCAGAAAACAAGATACAATTATCCTGGTTTGTTGTCTTTTTTTTTTTTTTTTTGCTGTAGTTGTTCTGGAAGTATTAGACTAGTTGCCTACCAATAAACATACAAAGTACTACCCTTCTCTAACACCTCTACAAAGGTCATTACAGAATGGCTTTGTAGAATTTTTAAAAAATATTTCCACCAGTTGATATTATAGTTTATTCAAACAGAATCTACTTGTTGTGAGGAAATAAACAGGCATAGGAAATCATTGTTAGGTTTTGGCAACTATAGTGATAAAAAGCTGTGCTGGTTTTGGCTGGGATAGAGTTAATTTTCTTCATAGTAGCTAGTATGGGGCTATGTTTAGGATTTGTGGTGGCAACAGTGCTGATAATTAGTTACTGCTGAGCAGTGCTTACACAGAGTCAAGGCCTTTTCTGCTTCTCACCCCACCCCACCAGCGAGTAGGCTGGAGTGCACAAGCACTTGGGAGGGGACACAGCTGGGAGATCTGACCCCACTGACCAAAGGGATATCCAGACCATGTAACGCCATGCTCAGCAATACAAAGCTGGGGGAAGAAGAAGGAAGGGGGGACGTTCGGAGTGATGGCATTTGTCTTCCCAAGTAACCATTATGTGTGATGGAGCCCTGCTCTCCTGGAGATGGCTGAACACCTGCCTGCCGCTGGGAAGGAGTGAATGAACTCCTTGTTTTGCTTTGCTTGCGTGTGTGGCTTTTGCTTTACCTATTAAACTGCCTTTATCTCAACCCACGAGTTTTC